GGCCCGGCCGGGTGCGGGGTTGCAGCGGGCGCGGAGGCCGCACGGTCCGGGCCGGGCGGGGCGGAGGTGCGGGCCGGGCCCGCTGTGTCGGCGGTAACGCTGCCCGCGGCCTGGGCCGGGTCACCGCCTCGCTGGCTTCTGCCCATTTGCTCGTAGGGCGCAGGAAAAGGCGGTGTTTTACCGGGGAATCGCGGCCGTACGGGCGGTCAGTTTCGCTCTCTCTGGCCGTGCTGCCCCTGTGTTAAACCCGGGCTGGTGTCATTGCCCGTTCTGTGCACGTGTGCCGTGGTTGTCCGCCTTGCAGCCTGCTCTCCAGTCCGTCCTGACCCTCCAAAACTGCTGTCGTAGGCTTCCCGAGTAAACTTCCTTTCTTTTCCGGCAGAAGAGGTGTCGTGCATTGGTGGGCGCAGCTCCTTGGCGCTCTTTGCCGCAGATGCTGGTGTGGGTTAGGCAGGGAGGCAGCGGGGTGAGGCTCAGCCTGTTCTCCCGGGCAGTTAGCGGTGGGACAGGAGGGCGCAGTCTTAACATGTGCCGGGGGAGGTTCAAGCGGGACATTTGGAGGCATTTGTTCCCAAAACGGGTGATTAGACATTGGAATGGACTGCCCACAGAGGTGGTGGAGTCGCGGTCCCTGGAGGTGTTTAAGGAAAGACTGGACACTGGACATGGTACTCAGTGCCATGGTCTGGCTGACAAGGTGGTGTTTGATCTTTCCAACCTCATTCATTCTGTGAAACCTGAAATTTCCACGTGGAAATAATGCATATTGAGAAATACTTTTCAGTCCTCAATGAAAACAAGAGGACAGTTAAATTTCCTAGTAAAATACAAGTCTCTTTAATGTACCTTCAGTGGTATGTAATATTCAATAAAATTTTAAGCAGCACTTGCTGTAACCAACACAAAGTGTAATTAGCCTAATTGTGGCATGTGAACAGTACTAACAGTATATAGATAGTGGGGCAGAAAATAACTGAATGCTTTATAAACAGGGGATTGCTCAGTTCTTAGGCTTTTGGAACAGACTTTTAAAAAAAATTATATGTATGTTGATCTCTGTATCTCTGGGGCTGGGCAAAACCTGTACTGTTACTCGAAAGAGGAATGTTAAACACTGATGGGGTGAATGAGAAATGCTAAATCTATATAGCCACCAGTCTCTGTCCCCCACACAAATATTTTGTGATAGTCGGTTACTCAGCAATGCAACTACTTTTCTTTGCCTGTCATTTCCATGGGAACTGGCCAGACACTTGTCTGGTCTCGTGGCTTCTTTCTAAGAATAGCTGTTGTCAGGTGATTCAGGAAAAATAAAGTTGCAGATGTTGAACATGGGATAATTCCATCTACCAAATTAGGCTCCCCTGTGATTTCCTGTGGCTGAGCTTGGTTTAAACCTTGAAGCTGAATGCTTAAGTACCATTAACATGAGTTGTTTTAAGAGGGCTCTGGCTGCTTTTGATCATACCCTGAATAAAAAGTCCATCTCTTTAATACTTAATAGTGTCTTGTGGCTTCCTGTAGCAGTAAGTACCAGTTTCAACACGTGAAAAATGCTTTCATCTCTCTGATTTATCTCTGAGCTCCTGTACTGTGAGATGTGATAGAAGTTCTGGAGCCTACAGTGTTGCAGAGAAACGCTTCCTGTATGGTATAAAATGCTTATGCTTTAGTTTTTGGTTCTTTTGGTCATTTCCTCAGTGTGTTACCCAGCAGTGTGCTGTGGGCTGGCAGTGTCCTGATGTGCTGCTGTAGCTCAGCTCCTCTCTCGGGCAGCGCCACGTGAAGTGTCTCAGCAGTGGTGTGCAGTCTCACTGACGGTGGGAGGAGGCAGGAAAGCCTCCCTGGGTACCTGGCATTTGTTGTGGTGTTCAGTGCAGGGGGGTGAGCAAACAGAAGGAGCTGCCCTGTGGAAAGGCTGTAAGCACATCAGTTAACTAAAGAAAAGGACTTCTGGAGATTAGGTGAAAATGCACTTTAGAATGGAATGGAAGCACAGCCTTTTACTCATTATTATTTATACTCTGCATGCAGCTTGAGGCACCTGTGTGTCAGAACTTGAGCTTTTAAGGCTTGACAAGCTCCCTGGAACTCTGCTCTCTTTCAGTACTGTGTCATTCTTGAGTACTCCAAGGTACCAGATTTTTAAGTGAAATAAGTCAGCACATTGGGTATTATTTTGGGCCCTCTCTGGAGTGCAGCTCAGTGTCAAATATGGAGCTAAAAATGAATCTCTTGGAACTGAGTGTTAGAAAATCAGTAAATTTACACAATAGGTGCAATGTTTGGTTTGTATGTTCAGGAGAAATTGCTGTTATGAAGATAGTCGTGATCCAGAATGATGTTTGTGGCTGCAGTAATACACTTCCCTAATAGTTATCTGCAGGATAACTTGTGTAACTATTCTGGTCAGCTGGTTTGGGTTTAAAAAAAATTGTTTTCCAAGGCAACTTACAGTTTAGTTTAGCAGCCTTTATTAAAAAAAGCAACCCAACCAAAGAAACAAAACCTAAAAGGAACGAAAAGTACGCCAAAAAACCCCACCCCAAAAGCTAGCTTTCCTCACCCCCCTTCCAAATTTATCTGCTGTGAGTTCTGCCTTCCATAACTTGCATGTGGTAACTTATGCTACCCCTGTGTTCAAAGCTGCCAAAAGGCTTCTGTCTCTTGTGCAGAAGCTGCTGGTGCGCCTGGGGGAGGCCGTTCTCTGGCCCTTCTCCCCTGCTCACTTGCTTCCGAGGAAAGAATGAGTAAAGCAAAACTCTTCCCATCAACAGTCTGGTTCTTCTACAACATTGGCAGTGTATCTAGTGTGGGTATAGCTCAGACATTTCTAAAGCCTAAATAGCTGCATAATTGAAGCTGTAAATTGCTTCTCTTGTGCTCAGGCAGGGGTTTGTACCTTATTGTACATGTAGTGGACAAGGCAGGGTCTTCTGTACTGCTGCTTTTGCCCAGGGTCAAAGTATCTTCCACTTCAAAAGCTGATGTTCAACATTGTTTTTGAAGATGGACCTAGGACTCCACAGTTGCTTTTTTGATAAAATGACACTTGAAAATACCATCTTATGTTACTAGGTTGGTAATTTAAGTGTAAGATAAGAACATAAAGAGCTTTTTTTCAATATGGAGTCTGACAGAACTGTGTTCTGATTGTGTGTGCCCTGCTGGATCTCACTGGTAGGCTTTTGCTATATATTCTCTTTCCTTAATTTGCCTTTTTTCATCGCATCCTCAAACTTCAGGCATGTGTCAGTAGCATGTGTGTGTCTTGATGTGATCTTGCGTATCATTTGATAATAACCAGGTTAAGTTTGGGAACCCCTGCAGTTCTGAAGCTGAAAGTAGCTTGCATTCTGAAGTTGGAAGAAAAGGGAAAGCTGATACATATTCAGACTTGGAAAAGTAAAAGTTGGAACTTGTTCACTACTGCTGCTGTTAAGATGTTTTCTATTCCTACAGAAATAAAGCTGCTACAAACAACCCCTCAAGTGACACCACTGCTCCTGTGGTATGCTTTTGACAGCAGTGTAGGTTATTGTGCTACTGTGCCACTCAAAAATGCTGCAGTTGTCTTTTCTTCAGACATGAAGTGTAGTGCCCTTGTAGTAATTTGGTCTGATACCTTCTCAGTCTTCAAATCAACACGCATACAAATTGAGTCTTCCTCTTTCTTAATTCTCCATCTGGGGGAGATACTGAAGAAATAAATTCATATCTTGTGTTGATATGAAAATGCTTCTGTTGATGAATTCAGTACTTAGTCCCAGTGTTGAATACAGTGTGAGACCTGGCTGTTCAAATTTAGAGCAGAAGTGGAAGTACTCTGTCTTCTGTTAATGCAGACAGAGGTTGATGTAAAGCTGACACTATAAATGAATGAAACTCCAATTTTTCCCCAACTGCTCTGAACTACAGTGGCTAAAGTTCTCTAAGAAGATACAAATGCATCTGCTGGGCTCATAGCTGGTATCATGAAAAGGATAGTTCTGAACTTGTAGCCATGATTCTTTAACCAATGTGTTTGCACACCAGCAGTAAGGAAACCAGTGTACACAGACTTGGCCAAATACTTCCCGGAGTTGTAGCAAATACGTGTATGTTTCACTAATGCTTTGGCTTGGTGTTGCTGTTAAAAAGCCTTCTTTTCATAGCCCTGCTTGTGGTGTTTTGTGGCTTTAGGCTGAACTGGGCAAATGGTAATCTGTTAACTGGCCTTGTCTTACAGCTTTTTTGGTGGTTTCCAGCCTAAACTGCTCTCCCAGCAGTGTCTAGCCCCATGAACAGCTGGGGATGGAAGAGCAGGGCTGGTGGCTGTGTAAACCTAATGCCCATCAGGACAAGGGGGCTTGGGAAGTTGTGGTCACCGTCAGCATTGCTGCATTGTTCCTAGCTGTGTTTTAATAGAGATTTGATGTGGTCAGAGCATATGGCATTCAGCTCAGTAGTGATTTATTTTCTCTAAAGCACTGGTATGGATTCAGGGGGCTGTGGATTGTAACCAATGTTCTGGCATAGACATCATTCAGCAAGTCTGTTATGTGATGTTCTGATATTGATTACTGCACACTAGTCCCTGCATTGTCATTTTGTGTTCCTTAAAAGTCTGATCTGCCATTGAATAATTAAAGCTTAGCAATTACAGCAAACTTCTGCTGGCAGAACATACTTGTTTCACAGTTTGAGGTTGTCTAAGGGCTTGTAGCTATCGGGTTGCCTGGGAAATAGGATCATCTAACCACTGTTGCTGCTTTTTC